AATAAACTGGTGGTGAGGAGGTGGAGACATAAATTCATACATTTCCCACCTAAGTAAATGTAATAAACTGGTGGTGAGGAAGTGGGGAGACATAAATTCATACATTTCCCACCTAAGTAAATGTAATAAACTGGTGGTGAGGAGGTGGAGAGACATAAATTCATACATTTCCCACCTAAGTAAATGTAATAAACTGGTGGTGAGGAGGTGGGGAGACATAAATTCATACATTTCCCACCTAAGTAAATGTAATAAACTGGTGGTGAGGAAGTGGGGAGACATAAATTCATACATTTCCCACCTAAGTAAATGTAATAAACTGGTGGTGAGGAGGTGGAGAGACATAAATTCATACATTTCCCACCAAAGCAAATGTAATAAACTGGTGGTGAGGAGGTGGGGAGACATAAATTCATACATTTCCCACCTAAGTAAATGTAATAAACTGGTGGTGAGGAGGTGGAGAGACATAAATTCATACATTTCCCACCTAAGTAAATGTAATAAACTGGTGGTGAGGAGGTGGGGAGACATAAATTCATACATTTCCCACCTAAGCAAATGTAATAAACCCAAATGGAATTCAAACTCTGCTCTCCAACTCCTCTATCTGAGCCACTATCCATTACTCCACCATACCTCCTTATATACAAAGTTAAAATATTTGGAAGGCTAATGTTTATCCAGATGCTGCAAGTAACCAATAATTATAACTAATCAGACTCTATAATACTGTAATAAGATGTATTTAGACAGAAAGAATTCATCTGAAATACATTTTAATAAATTCAACCGACAAATTTTGTCTAATTTTATATTGTATTTTTCCAATTTTCTAGTAACATTGTATATCAAGATCAAATACTATAATACTGAATATAAATATCAAGAAAATCTCATATGTCATAAAATCATTTGGTAATTAGCATAGAATTTGAGATTACTTGACCATTTATTTTTCATGGGTCAATTGACCCTACATATGTATCTCTACAGGGTGGGTGGAAAGAAACTCCCTACTTAAAATTGTTAATAACTTTATTAATTATTGACTGATTTTCATAAAATGTATTTTATTTTGAACATTATAATGATAGATATACAGTACAGTGTTAAAATTCTATGTAGGCACCAGCATTGTCCACCAGTGTCTGTAACCATCTAGATGTATCCTCAACTGATTTCATCATTTCCTGTACCTTAAGTCAGATACATTACATTCACTTACATGCTAATACACTTGGCAATGGTATGAATCCTCTTCTTCTCCCCCAAGCTATGGATAAATAGCAGGACAGACCGGGTTCTATAGCCTTGGATGGCAACTGGTCAACCGCAGAAAGAAATGGCAACCTACTGCGAGAAAAATCTGCCTCGTCAGTCATGAATTGAAAGATACATGATCGCCTAAACATGTATCATGCATGGCACATAACTGACTAACCTTTTGCACATTTTGTTCCAATCTGGATGTTGAAGGATGACCACTTATGTGGGTATCTACTACAGATCCCATACTCATCAGCTTGGAATGGCAATTTCAAATGGTTTTGGCATCTATTAAAGCACAAGGTCCACCATCACTGCACAGACTTTTACACTTTGTAACAGGATGCTAGCTGTTTATGCTCATGCAGTTTCAGCCATCCTGGGCTATACTTGTCTCTCTGAAATAAAAATATAAATTAGCAATGAAATTTTACGACCTTAGGGATCACAATATATTTTGTTTCATGCCAATGTGGTGATATTAACAAAGGTTATAATAATTTTTAAAAGGCTGTTTCTTTCCACTTACCCTGTATATACTCATCAGTTATTGTTTGCTAATCTAGTGGTATTTGTCTACTGAAAACTATGCTTTAATTTGGATTCTTGGAGAGACAGAAGAGAGAAATTATAGAAGAATTGGAAATCATCAAATAAGAAACTTATTTACATATTTATTAATTTTTCTTTCCACTCACTCTGTTTATAATTTTCATTCCTATATTTATCTAATATTGATAAATATATAAAGATTTAAGATTTGGGAACTGATTAATTTTTTGATAAAAAAAACAAGCCCAGTCCCCATGAGTTAAAGAAAAAAAAGATTCCTTTTAGCTTCCATAGATATATTTCCTATGTATAGTTTGTATCTAATTACACATACCAATGAACTTCACACTATCATTATCAACAGAACAATCATCAACCAAGATTCGATGAGAAGATAACTTATCTGAACTGTACACTCATCTTAAAATAATAGCTTTTCATAAATATTTGGTTATTTAATCTCCTTATCGAACAAGTTCAGTCACATGATAAAAATTGGAGACTTATAAATTGAATCATTTTCTTTTTTTTGTAAAAACATTAAAGTAGCTACCATATTACTAGTGTATTTTTTCTTCTAGATGTCTGCATTATATTTATTGGTGCCAAAAAAAATGGAATTAGTAGCCCAAGTTCAAATTTCTACTAAAACTGTTGCACTTTGGCAAAGGGACAAAGTCATCTCTTCTTGCCCTAACAATGGGTAAATAATAGGAGAGACCATGTCTGCTAGCCTTGACAATCATTCTAGAAGGATAAATCTGAATTCAAAATTGGAGAAAGAAATGGGAAATCATTCTTCTTCAGTCATGGTAATTCATGGGTATTGAAGGAAAAAGAGAGCCATGATAATTTATGTCCTGAATGGGACATAAAATAAAAGAATTTTTTTTAAATTAAATAAGTGAAAACCAGAATTTATGCACACATTGATATTAAACATTTCTTAGTAACTGTACTAGTTACTGTATATCAGATTTCAAAGTTTCTTATAATTACAAATTTATCGATGCTGTTAAAAATTGCAGTCGATATCAGGGGTTCCTAACCATTTTTATATCATCATCCGCTTTCATATGGAAAATTTTTCCACTGCCCACCTGTATAGTAAATATTCAAAGCATATCAAAATTGTCTGATAAAAATTTGTTACTAGTTCATAAACTGACTTTATGATGTAGTAAAAAATAACAAAGAGTAGTATAAATAATGCTGACTTATGCAGCGGCTACTGCTGCTACTAACATATTAAAGAAACAACAAAAGCAAACTTGACCATTGAATATAGTTTACTTTTATGGTTAGGGTTAGCATTGCAATTGTTGACAAAAAATTAAATGATTTTTGTTCATAAATATAAAATTAAAAAGAATATACATTTCTAGCAATGAATAAAAATTCAGTGAATATTTTTTGTTGTTCTTGGTCTTCCCTTATCTGATTACTTCAACTGAAGAACTATTTGAATATTAATAAATCTTCTCAAAATTCTAGAAAATACCAAAATATTCCTTGTATTGGGGGGATATTTATATCTTATCTAGAAATATGACCCAGTTATTCCCATTCAGGTTCTTTGCATATCTTCTTTGAATATTTTTTCAGGGACTTTTTAATACTTAAAATCCTATATTGCCCACTACAATTTCCAGATGCCCACCATTTTTTGTTCAGTTGCTTATCACCCACTGGTAGGCGATATTGCCCAGAAACTGATATTTAAATCCTTACTATTTTTAAAATGCTTTCTCTTGTAAGTCTTTAAATATAATTTCTATTTTTTTGTACTAAAGATTCAGCCAATATAAAAGTCAAGAGTCACTCATAGTAGAGAGTTACTGAATGTAAGAGTCAGTAGGTGGAGGTAGAAGGAAGTAAAGATTATGAGATTGACACAAAACTTGAAGAGGTTAAGATATTCATGAAAGTATCCATGAGGGAGTTTGTTCCACAGAGTAATAGTTCTCAAGAAAAGAGCTGAGTGGAACTTCCTTCTTACAAGGAAAGCATAAATGATTAGACTCTGTGGACATAGAATAGCAAGTACTACCTAGTCTGAACTGGTGGAACTAAAGAGTGGAGCTCATCTGAACATTTGACATGGATATAACAAGAGTAGCAATAGGCTTGCAATGCTTCAATTGTGAGGAAAGATGTTGTATAGCAGAAAATAAGTCATCTCTTACAAGAAACAATTTTGAATTCTATCTATCAAGGCTTGTAAGTAAGGATTTAGCTCAGGTATGACAGCAATATTCCATTTTTGGTCTGACTCTTGGCATGGCAAAAGGAGTTCATTTTTTTTTTCTGACTTTCTGGAGTGGTACAAGGAACTGACCATTTTTCCTGCATCTTTAACTTTTGATCATGTATATGACTTAGTTATTATTAGTGTATTCTACTTTTTCATAAAGTCAGTTTTTTACCTACTGACCTTATAAACATCTTGGGACAGCCTATCATTGTCATAACAAAGACATTGTTACCTAGCTTCACTAATAAAAGAGAGATAACTCTGATATAACAAAGGGTTTAAAAAGTATACACAAATACATATGGTGTGATAGACAGATAATTCCAAAACTTTGTTTTATTTTTTCTTTCAGCAAAAAATAGAAAATCCTGAATCCATGTCTATACTGCCAGTTTTTGTAATCAAATTTGTAAATTTGATAGTTCAAGCAAATATTTTCTCAGTAGATTTAATATTTATAATTTTTTTTTTTAAAATGGCTTAATTTTGAAATAAAGAAATTCATTGTTTTCTTGAAAGTATCATTTCTTTGATCAATGTTTTCTCTTGAATTTTGTTTAATATAGTAAATAATTTTAGGCAATTATTCACATCAGATAAATTTTTTAAATACATTTTACATTCATAAATAAGAAATTATTAAAATTGTTCAAAAAAATTCTTTGTTAAATTAAAGATGCACTTTACATGATGAACATAACAACTGAAAACTTTTTTTTATATAACTGGTCTTTTTTATTCATAAAAAATTAATGTAAGTAATTCAAATAATGAATAGAAAAATGAAGGTAGAAATGAATTTTTCAGTCTACCTAACAGCACACCCGAACTCGAAATTCTGCCTGATGGAGTTCAAGGGACATAATTCATCTATACATATATTAATAAGTCTTTATGTTAAGTCCACGAGAGATAACTCCGTAGTTCATTCATCAGAGTCATCTCGACTGCGCACATTTCGGGCTCCTTTTGTGACTTTACGCTTCTTGAATGCTACTGCTGTTACATCGCCACTACGTGACAGGCTGGTTACACGTTTTTCCTTGAATTTAACTTTGACTGATTCTTCCTCAGGAAACTCTGGTAATGGAATATCATTGGTTGGAACGTCAGGTAATTCATAATCAACTGGAGCCCTACAAGAGAAACAAGAAGAATAGAGAGACAATTTTAAGAAGAAATCAATATAACCAAAAATTAAAGAGAAAAGACAAATATTATTTGATACTCCTTTCTGGTAATATTTGAGGGACATGATCTAATAACCAAACTGTTGTCTTTTTTAAAACTTTTTATAGTTATAGAAAAGAAATTTATTTGCAGTTCTATTTTACAACAATTTAGTGGTATTTTTTATTTAAAAAATTGTAATCTCCCTACAATATATCTACTAAAATATCTACTTAAAAAAAAAAAAATTTTTTCTTGACTGGCAATCTTCAAGTAAAAAGAATCAGAAAATAAAATATTAATCTTAACTTATATTCCAAACATATATGTAGCATAAAGTTTAACCCTTTTTATCTTATAAATCTATCATAAATGGATTGAAGTAATGGATAGCGGCTTGGGTTGAGGAATCAGAGAGCTAAGTTCAGATTCTAGTCGAGTTCATTACATTCACTTATGTGCTAATACTCATAGGAAAGGTATGAATCCATCTCTACTCCCTCCAGCTATGGATAAATAATAGGACAGACCATGTCCTATAGCCTTGAGTAGCAAACGGTGTAGGAGAAAGACAACTCCGAATTCAAAACCTGAATTGGCATCAAGCAATGTATTTTTAGGGTATTGTTTACATTCTATTTGGCAGACACATGCTTCTGATGTAAAGTTAGCTCTCTGAAGGTACCACTGCAAATACTGGTAAACAATAGAAAATATTGGGGACATAGCATATGTAGATATAACCAGAAGTTAACATTGCTTGGTGACTGACAGTTTGCATGGTCTGATGATTGTTCAAGGTGTAAAACTGCCAGTCACTATACAATGTTGATTTCTATGTCCACATTATATATATATAATTTGGTGGCTGATGAAGACAGGGTATCGCACGTGCTAACACATATTGTATGTTTAAAAAAAAAAGAAAAAGAAAAATATATATATATATATATATTTATTTCATTTTGCTTTGTACAAATAAAATACACTGTGGATTAATTTTAATATTTTTATATTACTAGGACCCACTCAGATTATACAGCCACGGAATTTATTTTACCTTTACTATATATATATATATATATATATATATATAAAAGTATGAATTGGGAACAAATATGAAACATTTATAAATTTAACATGTATCACTTTTATTTATAAAAGCCCACATATACAAACATAAGAGAGATCTACGTTGAGACAACCCTTTAAACTTGCATGTAATACATGAAAATAAAACATGCTATAACTTCAATTTAATAAGTCCTGTCCTAATTAGATAAGAACATAATTTATTGTATAGAAAATACAAATAAAATATGATAAATATTTCCCATCAATAAACACACATCAAACACACTGTATTATATCACCAACTTTTATAATATCCATACTTAAAGAATCTAAGATCTGTCTAACTACAACCAGTGTAACCTAACTTCTTTCACTCTCACACAAAACACCCCCAATCAACATACAGACAGTACCAGATATTAATAAAAATGTCCACTAGATGCACACATGCACACACACATTTTTAACCAAATCCCATATAGACCAACGAGAATCATGATACACAAACACACAAGAATTATACACACAAAATCTACTTGACAAGACAAGTAAATGTGAGGTCTATTGAGCCAATGAAAAACTTTTTCCTGCCATTCATGTCTCCTCTTATAACAGCATGGCGCCAGCCACTGTGATCACCTGCTATCTGTTCCCAGGTACCAGAGTTGATACCTGTGAGTTTCAGGTCCCCCTTGCATGTATCATTGAAATGTAGTGCAGGGCAGCCTACTGGACAATGTCCAATGGCCAGCTCACCATACATAATGTCTTTTGGTATATGGGCATCATTCATTCAATATATAGGGTGCGATGGATAAATTGTCATCAAAATGATGCAAAAATGAAAATAACCCTGACATCTCATTTACCAGAATTACACAAAAATATCTTGAAATACTAGAGTAAATTTATTCAATAAAATTACCACTGGCTTCAACCACAGCCTCCAGATGTCTTTGGAATCTCCTGCAACTCTTCTCTTTGTTTAATTTGGTAAATGATGCCATAATTCTTGCCTTCAGTTCATCTTTGGTATTACAAGGAGTTTTGTTGTTCTTTTGCTCAACTGTGACCCACACATAATAATCAAGGGGGTTGCAGTCTGGGAAGTTAGGTGGCCAGATGTAAGGAGTGATGTGGTCACAGAAATTGTCTGAGAGCCTGGGTTCTCCTGCTTGTATGCCGTCCTGGGTATGACTATAAACTGCATCCGCGTCCTGGGTAAGACAATAAACTACATCCAACAGCAAGGCTTCTGATCAGGAGGTTTTGAGGAGTGTGGAATCACCTTTTAATTGCTGGTGTTCACAGGTCCACCCTAACCCGGGGTGGTAGCACCTGTTAGGGTCCCAGCTATGGGCAAATAGTTAACACCCAGACTATATCCATGTCCTGGATATGAAGATAAACTACATCCACGTCCTGGGTAAGACGATAAACTATGTCCAACAGCACCCTCAAACCCAGATCTTGTCCTGGGTATGACGATAAACTACATCTGCATCCTGGGTATGACGATAAACTACATCCACATCCTGGGTATGATGATAAACTAGGTCCAACAGCAAGGCCTCTGATAATACGTTTTTGAAAAAATAATGTTGTCAGCTATACGTTTTTGAAAAAATATTACCAGCTATACATTTTCTTTGAAAGAATAGTGTTGCCGGCTATATGTTTTTGAAAAATAATATTACCAACTATACATTTTTTAAAAAAATAATATTACCAGGTATACCTTTTTGAAAAATATTACCAGCTATATGTTTTTGGAAAAATAATATTACCAGCTATACATTTTTGAAAAAATAATATTACCAGCTATACATTTTTTTAAAAATAATATTACCTGCTATACATTTTTGAAAAAATAATATTACCAGCTATACATTTTTGAAAAAATAATATTACCAGCTATACATTTTTAAAGAAATATTATCAGCTATATGTTTTGGAAAAATAGTATTACCAGCTGTATGTTTTTGAAAAAATAATATTACCAGCTATACATTTTTGAGGAAAAAAAATATTAACAGAAATAGATTTTTGACAACACAAAAATATTACCAAAAAAAGTCAGCATTAAATAACCCCTTGTATAGCATGGTGCAGAAACATAGGGTCTTCCAGCAACCACCCTCTTGACCAAGGATAGCACTACCTCCTCAAGCCACTTGATGTGGGCCTCCATGTTGAGTCTGAGGTTCTGTGGGAAGATGAATGGAGGCATAATGTTGCCATCACTTGTGATCACTTCAATCACCATGATGTTGACTGACCATATATCATCCGACTCTTTCCAAATCCTCTGCACTGTCCTCAGATTGACACCCAAACACTCTTAAATGTTCTTATTGGAGCTTCCGGTGCAAATGCCAAACAGTACAGCATGCCGATTCCAAATTTCTGGCACAGTGAATTGTGTCATGTGCTCTTTTTCGCACAGACAGTACACAACTGACCCATTATACTGTGCAGTTGATAAAATAAAAAAAAAACAACGCACATGCATGAAATTAAAAATATAAAATGACGACAATTTACCAATCGCCCCTGTATGTGACCCGGCCATTGAAGACAACATTGATATAGGAGAAGATGCATGCCCCAGGAGTCTGCTTGATCCAGCACAGCAGTTTGGATAACTTTGTCTCTCCATGTGATGCTGAGGCTATGTCATGAGCAACAGAGATAGAAGCTTTTCAGTGATGAAAGCTTTGTTATTTATATTTACATTCAGAAAGAGCCAGTTGAAATTTCTGGGATACATGAGGAAAGAAGGTTTAAAGAATTTAACACTCACAAAACATATTGAAGGACAGAGAGAAACAACAAGTAATCTACATAATCAGCTTGTGTAAATGGATGACAAAACAAGGAGTGGGAGTGTTAGCAAAAAGACAAACATTTCAAAGAGCTACAAAAGTTAGGAATTTATGTAAATGGATAGCATAGTAGGGACTAGAAAGGATTGAAAGATGATGAACATTGCTTAGGAAGTTCTGGAGAGCCATGACCATTTATATCCTGAAGGAAGACAGCTTATAAAAGATCTAGAAACAATCACTTAGTCACAAGTGAACATTTTGTATAGTGACAATATTATGAGACATTTACTGAAAGAAAGATATCAACAATGATTATGCAAAATTTTACAAGTCACTGATCACATACTCTTCTTCATAAGTGACCCAGTCTCCATAAGCTTTCCTCGAAGTACATGTCTCTGCCCATGTTCGATTGTCAGTATTTGAATTTCGAGGCAAAGGTCCTTCAATCACAGTGTTGGCTTCTGAATCTTCTTTCTTTATATCTTCTGGTTCTAATTTTACTTTCACATCTGACTCTTCCTTTATTTCAGTTTTTTCTTTTTGGTCCTGCAAAAGGAAAAATAATTATTTGAACAGCAGTAGCTACATTTTATATATATATATATATATATCCCCAAAATATTTATATATTAAAAAGAACCAAAAAAAAGAACCAAAAGATCATTTTTTTTTTATATTTTCCTAATTTTTGATTAAGGTGTTGAGCATTGTGATCAAAAATAATATCAGATTAAAAATAAAATCCATTAATTCCTTAGAAATTATACACATACACACACACACATATATATATATATAGTGTATAATAAAAACAAAGAACAGTGCTCAATGTAAAATATAAAAATATACAAAGAGAGTTAATATAAGAAAAACAATATCAGGTATTACTGAATTTTTTGTCACACTGCTCATGCATACTTATAGTTGGTACAATTGTGGTCACATGATGGGAGTTTGAGCTTGATTATGCCAGTTTTCTTGCTGCTGTTACAGTGTAAAATACGAGCTACTCTGCTAACTGTTGGCACCAAGGAGGAACAAAGAACAGACAATCTTATGAGTCTCTGTCTTTCCAATTTTATAAAGCATAAAAAAGGCTATTGCTTACATTAGAGCCTAAGTCAGCACTGTTACACTGGTCTTGTTCTTCTAAACTGACATAATTTGTTGGTGCCTCCCACACAGATTCTGTCAAAAGAAGAAAATAATGCTGTTGTTAAAAGTAATAACTGAATGGAAATGTGGTAAAACCAGTTATAATGTTTCATTATAAATTTTTTTTTAAATCAATTCACCCCAAGCAAGGTGATAACACCACTAAGACACAAGGGGCTACTGGAAGTGAAAGAGGAGAAGAATTTAGAAGGAACTGGAAACCCAATCTTAAAAAAGAATCTAGGGATAAACCTCTACTCCTGTTCAAAAAACCAGGGAGGTGTGTGAACCAGATGATAGGTGAACCTATCTACTCCTATTGAGGAAAAAATAAATAAATAAATAAATAGTATAAATTTCAGAGTTTAACCAGAGTCATTAGAAATATAGAGTTGAAGTAGAATTTAGAAGGAAGTGGAAACTCAATCCTAAACCAGAAACAAGTGATAAATTTCTACTCCTGTTCAAACTTTTTATGAAAATCTAGTGTGCTGAAAAAATGTTGAGTGATATTAAACAATTTCATATAATTATATGATTAAATAAGGAGCAAGTATGAAAAGCTTTACAAATCTTTCACTATTTAGATTCATCAGATATTTTTAAAATGGAAAAAAATGAAGCTAAATAAATAGCAAATCATGTTAAATTTATAAAGATTTTCCCACTTGTTCCTTATTTAATCATTCTGTCATATTTAATCCATATTTTCATCTCATATTTTTATATCCACACAAAGAAGCACTACAGGAAGTGAAAGATACAAAAAGGTAAAGTAGTTATCTTCAACAACAGATGGTAAAAATATATAAGGAAATAAACAATATATAGATATATAAAAATACTGAAAATAAATAAAAGCATGTATAAAAATTTTATTTTTATTATTTTAAAAATGTTAGCCTTGAATAAATGTTTAATCATCTAGGCTGTTTTTTTAGTACACATTCTTTTGAGATGTATTTTTATGAAGGCCAGATGGTTTGTGTAAAAAGTTGTTACATTTGTTTATCATTTTTGGTTCCACTAAAATTTGTAAAGGATCCATTTCCAGTTTATGGAAAATTATTTTTTCATATATACTGACCAATGAGAGATGTGATTTCAAGCTCTAGTAACAACCTGAATGGGAGGATCATGTGAGCCTAATTTTTCAAATATGTAGATGTGAGGAGAAGACTTTTTGACAGCAAGGAGACAAGGCAAATCTAGGAGCCGACGGCTTTTAATATCAAGAAGGCACCAGTTACTAGTCAGCTGCAGAGAAACTAAAGAGTTTTGAAGATCAATTGAAAATTCTCCTGCAGTTGGACAACAAAGTATGAAAAGAATTTAAAGAAATTTTCCCAAGCACTAACAGTGAATTTAAAAGGGACTTTTCAAAAATTATTGTATGTCCCCAAAACACTCGTCGGGCACTTTTGTTTTATTACTGTATTCTTGAATTGTTTTCTCTTTTTCAAAATACCTGTCTTTTTCCAAACTGTAATTTTTTCCATATTTTGATGGTAATCTTTTTATCAGAAATTGTTGTCCTGCCTTAATAAGTGCACAAAAAGAACTTTTTGTGCAAACTTTATATTTGTACTTTTTTGTAATTGTGTAATAAATATGTTTTCCTTTTAAAATTTTATGCAATGGTTGAGTCTTATTTGCAATTTTGCACCTATTATGACTTGCTATTCCTACTAGCTAGGTTTTTGTGTTTGACACAAGAACTTACATTTGGTAGGAAATAAATTTTTTATAGATGAGCCAACTAAAACAACATACAGCATTTAAATCAATGTAAATAGTCACTTAATTATATTGCTACAAATATGTCTAATACATGCAAATATTTACAGTGCTCTTTTTTGAAAACAAGAAGGTGAGTAGAGATGAAACAGTTTATTGTAGCCAGAAATATTAAGATAGACCTAAAATGCACTGACTTAAAAGAATGTAGGTAAAGATCTTCATGATATTGTAGGGTCAGCATTCATGCCCACCTGAAAAAAAACATCTTTCAAGGAAGTTAAAACAATGCATCATAGGCAGAGGTACTGAATTATGGTATCTCTAAAATGTGCAATATAGAATGCAAAAACAAAAAAAAGGCAATATCTCAAATACCTAAATACATAAGAATTCCTATTCCAGGTGACTCAACCAGAAGCAACAGTTTAACCTTTAACACACTGCATTATTCACAACTTTCCCTTTCACTGCATTGTTTTTTAAGGCTCCTCTACTGGACTACTTAATTTCAGTCATGGTCATTTTCTGTTACCAAAGCAGGATATGACAACATAACTTCAAAATTCAAACACGCTATTATTCATTCATCTGAGTCCCTTGCAGTGGCAGGATAGAATTTTTGCTTTGCAAACAAAATCATCTTCAAAATGTTAAAGGTTAATTCTTTATGGAGAAATTGGTTTTACATTTACTGCAGTTTCCATTTGCCTATTTGATGCTGCTGAATTTTTCATGCCAATTCTTTTCACTTTGGCAGGCAAGTCCTTTGGTCTTTTGTTGATTTGTCTTCAGGTTGTTTTCCTTAAATATTTGTTAATTTTCATATTGTGGAGTTGTCTGCCTTCAAACTGAACTGGAAAAAATTTTTTCAAGAGTTAAAAGACTATCTTTACCTGCAGAAGATTACACCACTCATGTTACTTAAAAGTTTTAGTCATCATACCCTTTTCCCAGGTCGACACATCCACACAAGTAGTCGGACTGCTAGAGTGTTTTTACTGAGTCGCCATCTCTAGACATATTGCCAACTAAGGCTGAAGAGTTTTTATCTAACCATTAGTATAACTCTCAACAATTTCCCATGTTTTATCAACCCAATTTCACTTATAAGGTTTGGATCAATGCATAGTATGGTCTTTAGGCATTTTCCAACAGTGTCACATTATCTCCCCAGAACAATATTATCAAGAAATCAACTTCTTGAGAAATAAACCATACTGAGATTTGAAACTTGGATGTAATGGTTGGAAAACTATTCTCTATTTGTCTACATGTCCACTATGGATTTTTTAAGATAACTATCACATACTAATTATAGAGTGCTTATTTATTTATTTGCATACGAATAAATAACCTCAGTTAAAAAAAAACAACAAAAACATAGCTCCACCTTTTAACACATTATACATAACTGCAAGGGAGCAAATTCAATATTTTCCCATCCAAATTTTCTCTCAAAGGATAACACAACAGATGACAGAATTGTCTAGTAATCAATAAAGACAATACTATGCAGACTTTTATTATTTTAGCATTTATGATGTAAACTAGTGTTGTAAGCATACAGCATGTCAAAGTGAAAATTTATTAAAGGAGAGAACTCCTCCCTAGTCTTTTGAAAAGCAGTAGAGGTTTATCCCTTGTTTTCTGTTTAGGATAGGGTTTCTGGTTCCTTCAAAAGTGTGTTTCAGCTCTGTACTCCTCACACTTGTTTTTTTATGCTAATCTTATGCAAGTCCACACAGTAACCATCCACCTTGAATGGCTCTTGGTTTTTGTATTGGATGAACATTAATAAGAAAAAAAGAGAGATAATGGAATGTTTTAAGAAGCATTCTGTGGAAAAGATATAGTGTCTAAAATGAAATACTGTTAAACTTATGATAAAAGTAAAAGAAGAATCTTTTATATAAACTCATTGCCAATACCAATATTATTATTGTTAGAAAGTTGTCTGATAAATATCACTTTATCAAAGGAGTTGCTTTTAAGCAAGTGTATATTTTATTTAAAAGCACTGTTGATTTTGGTATAGGATTAAAGTCATTAAAAGTTATTTTATATTTTGGAATTGATTTTTAGAAATGAGGTTTACAGCCATATCATTTTGAAATACCAGTTCTCATTTGATCACTAAAGTTAAGCAATATCGAGCCTGGTCAGTACCAATATGGGTGACAAGTTGGAAATACCAGGTGCTGTAAGCATGGATGTGCAGGTGGTGTAATAGCAAATGGTTCAGAATTGGAAATTGGAGAGCCATGTTTCAATTTCAGTCAGGTTTGTTTCATTCGCTCACATGAAAATACGAATCCACCTCTTCTCCCACCAACTATGGGTTAAACTGCTGGTTTCAATCTATGGGGAATGACTGCAAAATACTTTCCACTCCCATTTTTATAGGCAGAAGCACACAAATGCATGCTGGAACCTTTTCCTAGCCAATAAAATAGGCCAGTTCTCAATTTCGACTGACTCAGTCCTGGTCTGTCTTGTCTTGAAGTCAGAATGCTCTGTTCTCTTGTCAAAACTTGCTTTTGTATGTCAGTCCCAATTCTTAGTTTGTGAACTTTTTGTCATATTACTGTTGCTTTGTCTTATTACTATTAATTTGCCTTGCATATATTGTTTACTTGCTTTATATTATTTTTTGCCTTGTTCTTTTCTTTTTCTTGTTATTGCAAACTTTGTCAATTCTATTTGTTGGACAGTTCTGTTACTTATTTTGCATTTGATCATGGCTACTCAACTCCACAGAATTAGTAGAACTTATGTCAGCAAATTATTAATTTCTCCAAAAACTTTTTACAATTTAAAAATATTTTCTGCCTTTAAATAACCTGCATAAGTTTGATAAGCCATAAAAACCAAATCAATCATAAAATGTAAAAAACAAATAAAGAACTAACCATTAGTTTTGATGTTCCAGAAGTAATGGTATCCTTCATCTGATACTGCTTCATACCAATCTGTCTCTGTTTTTGGAGGCTTCACTTCTGAACTGCTAAACTTGCAAGTAGATTCTGTTAGACTTTTCTCGGTTTTTATCTGTGGTTTTACATCTTCTGCAGGTTCCTTCTTTATACTGACTTGTTCAGATACTTTCTTTTCAGATACCTTACTTTCAGAACTTTCTATAAAATAAAAACATTCTATTCAGATAACAATTTGTTGTAAAATACAGCAAGAATGTAGTGAGTTTGGGGGGAAACATCTAACCAATTGCTATCCCAACAGCTACAAGCAAAGAAGGGAAAGAGACAGAAGGAAACAAAAACACTATCTCAGAAATCACAGTATGGCAAGCAACATGTAACTTGAGGAACAAAATGCCATATGACACTTAGTCTCACCAACTACCCACTGCTGGTTTTCCCATTACTTTTATTGACAGGAGACCAGTAGTATGCAGAAGGGTGAGGTGGGTAGAGGATATGACAGGGCCTGGACATCCATATTGAAAGGGCATCCAATCAAAGAGTGAAATAAAATTTAGTTTATATTTAATTTAAATAATGTGTTTATTTCATCTGTTTTCCTTTCTCACATTTATCAGTACTAGGCCTCCTCTACTTGAGTCTTAGGTGCAAACAACCAAGGAGTTGGCCCTGGGCATCACCAAAACCTCTGCACATCACTGCAGGAGACAATTGACAGAAACACGGATCTAGACAGGTTGCAGAGAGACCTGTATCTGGACATGCCAAGCTGTTCTGCTGCTAATGGGGAAAACCCAGATGTAACTGGTGTTGACAAACCTGTTCGCACGCAGTTTGGGGCCTCTTTTGTGTCTGTACTGATGCACGCTTGCCACACTATCTCAGTAAAATATTTCTATATTACTGTCAAATAGTTATATATATTTTTATGTTCTTTTGTGATGTTACATACACACACTGTGATATCACAAGTAGGATTTATTAAACAAATTGATTAAAATTTTCATTCACTCTGATGGTTACATGTACATAGGTACATCAGTAAGCTTAATGAAAAAAAAGATTTACTTTATACAAGAAATATATAGGTTTCAACATAATTTTCTTTGTCAATGCACTTAATCCAAATGGAAAAATTTCTCATATATCACAGAGGAGAGGAGTGAATTTGGTCAATGAAAAAGGATGGGGATTTGTTCATTAAAATATCAACCCAACTGATTAATTTATTTAAAAAATTACATTAGGTTGGTCAAGTTCCCTATTATCATATTCCAATGTATTTTTACTTACCTTTTTTCTTTGTTAAAGAGATACCATATTGTGCAGCTAAAGAAGGATCATTCATTAAATCTTTTTTGAAAGCTTCAAGAGCAGCCTAGAAAATAACGTAAAACTGATTAAACAAAGTGTGAGTTTTTAATGAAATTTACTATTTAAAAATTGTACAATAAACCAATACTTAAGTTGTAAAAGTTTCTTATATGAAGTATCATTATTACTAATCTTTTACTATTTTCTTTCATTCAATTATTGGTACTTATAAAAACAATGCTTGCACAGTTTTTACATTCTAAAATTGTTAAGTCAGCAGCAGAAATGTGAGTTCAAATCTCACCATGAGTTATTCATTTCTGATTTGTGGGGCTTACTTATAAAATGTAATAAAAATGACTTGAATATTGTGATAAGAAGCAACAAAAATAAGATGAAAGAAAAACTAGTCAAAAATCTTTAACCCTAAATTTGGGAAAGGAATGAATCTATCTTTTCTATCTCAGCTATGGGTTAAATAGCAGGGTATACTAGTTGCAGTCTAGAAGGACAACTCTGGATTAAAAAAAATGGAAGACCTGGTGAAACAAATACTATACATCCATGGAAAGGATTATTGAATTCATGATAACTTTATGATCTCAACTGAGTTTAATTAGATAGGTAGGTGTAGAGAAATAATAAATGTATGCAGATTAAATGTTGGATTAAATATTGATAGATTTAGTAAAAAAAATAATATAAAAAACAGTAACAAGACAGCAGAAGTTCAGGAATAGAATATTTAGTTGTAAAAGTTTCCTTAGGATTAAAAATGATTCCTGATTAAATCTAGTCAGAATGTATAAACTTATTGTCAATAACTCATTAATATTTTCATTGCTGTGAACATACTTATAGATCTTTTGAAAACTTACATTACCTGCTGTCAACATATATATATACATTTTCAAGAAACAGTAAAATATTATGTTATAACCTAACTACCACTTAGCATTATTTCCAAACCAACAATATGGCCTGTTTTGTGACATATTTTTATTATATCATGTATTGAGAATGTCATTTAGCTTAGTCTGTACTGTAGATGGATGTGTGAGTGGTGTAATCAATAGTAACTCAGAATGAAAAATCAGAAAGTTCAAATTACATTCACTTACACTTGGGAAAGGTATGAATCCATCTCTCACCCAGCTATGGGCTAAATATTAAAACTTGTATTTGAAATAATTATTGTTATACTCAAAAAATTGTAAATGCAATATTCCCTTGCAAAAAAAGAATTATTCTTACAATCCAAAATATGTTTTAACTTTAAACAACCCACAAAGGGTTGATAAGCTGTAAAAAACAAATCAGTCTGTACTACAGAGTATCTGATTAAAACCAAAATGGTAGTATCTATGAGAAATTGTTGTCAGTATCTTTATAGTAATTTATTTTGACTAAATGGCAATTCCCTTTTTTTTAGACTGATCTCCTGCACTTAACAATAAGATATACCATTGTTATGGTAACAGAAGGTATTACTTTCACTAATTAATGACTATACCTCATGTTACCATAGCAACAGAATATCTCAATAAGTAGGTTAGATCATTCTGCTAATACACTATGTTAATTTATTTGGATGTTTTTAATTTTAATAATTTAAAAAGCAAAATTCTTTCTTACATGTGACACTAAAAATAATTGTAAAGATAAAATCCTCAATCCCTCATGCAGAAAATATAACTGATGCAAACAAAAAATTACTTAAATACTACCAACATTTTTTTAGAGCATAGGTAAACAAGTATATATCTAAAATACTCAATACCAATAAATAATTTCATTTTTTGTATATACAACACATATTAACATTAATCATACATAACTATAGCAATTAGTAAACATGTGTGGTGGTGCTTGGCCACTTGTATCCAAGTATGCCTGGATCTATAAGTATATTCACAGCAATGAAAATATTAATGAGTTATTGACAATAAGTATGCCTGTCTACTAGGACAGCTAACCAATCCCTGTTGTAGACACCTGATCAGACACATTTGTATTTGTTCAACACCCATAGAGCCCACCTGTGGTTTATACTGAAACTATACTGAGCAGATCTTAGTTACATTTTCTGAGAAAGAGTGCATTATTTGGTGTGATCAACATTCTGAAGAAGGCTAGTATGCTCAAACCCTCAGTCACAATGACTTGTGACCATGCTAGTACAACCATAGATGGCTTCCAAATAGTTCTGTCTGCCCAGTTTCACTCACAAGGCTAGGGTCAACTTGTGGTATGGCTTTCAGCCATTTCCCAAAGGTGCCACATGCTGGGATCACCTCCCCAGTATGATAACATCAAGAAGTCACCTTCCTTGATAAATTGATCACAAATTCAATTTGAACCCGGGTCTCATGGTCAGAAAGCAAACATTCTAACCACTCTGCTATGTGCCCATTTAGTAAATATACATGACATTAACTAGCACTCTGCATTATTCATTTGTATTACTTCCCCTTTGTAAATTGTAGCCCTTCAGTTACAATAGCCTAGTTCTCAATTTCAGTTAAAATTGTTTTTTGATGTTTGCCATAACAGGATATGAGAATACAACTTTAAAATTTAAACAAACTATCATTGCAGAGTGTTGCCTACAGTGGCAGGACAAACCTTTTACAGAAATTCAATTCTTTATTTTTATGACTGTATTCTTAATTGCTTTAGTTTGAATTTTGAAATTAAAAACAACTTTGATTTGATGGTGATAGTGTAACAAAATTACTTAGTTTCTGTGCTGAAAAGTAGTTTAAAAATAAAATAAAGCAGGTCATAACATTTCACATCACTTGACATGTGATGATTGATGATTTCATCACTTTTTGACAACTTACAGGAGGGCAGAAGTGATATTTAGAAGTTATTTAGATTTAAGGGAACAAATTATTTACCTAGTTATTTTAAAGGAAAACTTTCAGCGCTCTATATCTTTTTTTTGTACTTAGCTTTCATCTTTGTTTACGATGCTTTATGGAAAATATATTATAAAAAAATTAAAATAAGCCTGTTGAGGGTGAGATTAAATTTCATAAGAAAGGTATCTAATTATTATGAAATTTTATCAGAAGTGTACATAAATTATTATAATTTTATGTACATTTATTACATTTTACTGTTTTATTTGTATCTCTATTCATTTTATTATTAATTTTGATATTTCATTTATTGGAAAATGTCATAACTGAAATTAATATAAAAATAAGATCATATAAATTTCATAAGGTACTTGTAGGTACCCTTTTCAGTTGAAATTGAAAAATCAAATTAACTTCACACCTGTTTTGCAAAAATAAAGGCCTTAATGGCGCAGAACAATGCTTAACTCAAATAACGCAACTTAATTGTATTCTTACTGGTCTTTCATGCTATATAATTACAGCCATATTATAAACACAAAATTACATTTCTTAATTACTGCGGGTCTTCTGATTGGTCAAAGCGATACAATTTACAATGCGGTAAAAAAATATCTATCTCATAAGGACATTTATGAAAGTGAATGCAGCTTTCAACTAATTTTATATTTTAACAACTTAAATGTAAAAATCTAAAATAATTCAAGAAATAAGAAATAATTGTATTAAAAATTCATTTTTCATCAAAAAGGTTTTTTGCTTTCAGAAAATATTGTCCATATTCATAAAAGCAAATAAAAGCATTTGAAATTAAATAATATCTTTGTTTTTATTGAGTTTTGTATGTTGCAATTCAGAGTTGATTTTCCGGGGGGGTTGGTCCAATTAAAAAAAATAAATACATGATTTGCTTTCCTCAAAGCCTTGTGCTTTTAACTAATATAATCACTAAACTGAATGCTATTGAATTTCTAAAGTTTTCATAAAATTAGTTATGGGGGGTAATAAATATAAAAAAATTTTTTCCATGACTTTAAAAAAAGAAAACATATTTATAATAATTTCCATCATTCGTGAATAGTTCCTGAAAGTTTCATTAACATCCAACAGTTATTTTTGCAAGATTTTTCAAATTAATGTCTGTCATACAAAAAAAAAACATCCTAAAAATTTATATGTTATTTTACTAGTTCTGGTGATACAAAGAGAAACAAGGTTTTTTAATCAAAATTTAGAATGTTCTAAAAAGAAGGGAAAATTTTTAAAAATAATTAAAAAATACTTTGATTTTTCCTTGTAATAATAACAAACATTTTGATGATAAAATTTTGTTTTTGTCAAGTTTGGCATCTTTTTCATCATGCTATGCTCTTTTTTTTAGCAATCTCATGAAGGTACCTAATTTAAGACATTTTTCTAGCTGAGATATTTACAAAAAAATGTAACTGCTGATGATTTTTATCATGATCTTTAATCATGATTTACATACATTTTTACATACATATGATTAAACATTTATTAACATAATTTAACATTTTTTAACATAATTTAACATTTTTTAACATAATTAAAACATTTTTATATACATATGTACATACATATTTAATCATGATTTTAACCATTCATTTTTATTATGATTTTTATCAAGTTTTGATTAGTCTTTCTTTCAACTTTCACTTGGTTTTTATAACAATTCTCAGATTGTTATTCTCCAACCATTAAATAAGCAGCAGACATGAAAATAACAGATATAAGATAAAGATTATTAATTCAAATCTCATTAAAAGAAGATGCTAAACAATTTGCAACACAATCAAGAACCTTTCCCCTCAAATATCCAATCTTTGATTATTTGGTCAGGTTTTGAGAAGTGGATCCGGCTGTGTACTTGTGACTTTATATGTAAATATTAGAGTAAATAAATGTTTAAAAATTTTTCCTGCAGTATCATGAGTTACATAACTAGTATGCATGCACACACATGCGAGCATGTTAGAAATTAACAAGTATAAATCAATATTCATAGAATGGTAATTCTAATGCTGCCAACTACTCATAAAGCATCAATCAGGAGCATAAGATAAAACTTTGAAAATATAGGTAGATTTTTTTATTTTTAAAACTTCAATCTTATAAAACTATAAATCTACCTTATTCAGCTGTTCCATGTCACTTTCCATTTCGCTCTTTTTCTGGGCATCTGCCAAACTTTTTTTCTTAATCTGCAAAAATAAATAAAAACAAGGTTATACAGGAAGTGGGTGCCTATGAAATGAACATTGCATCTGTTAAAAGTTAAAGACTAGTGCGTCTCTTGGTTAAATGAATTGAAGTGTTAGCAGTTGTGAGTTCAATCCTTGAGTCTGATATTATTGAAATGTCACAACAGTGCATAGGGTGCATATTAACTGATATAGCCCTTAAGCATGGAAAACAAATGAGAACAATCTAACCCCATAAATTGAATAAATGGTTTAGTTCAAAATTCCACGAAGGTTATCAAATACAAAGTCAGACACCTGAAAATGGCTGGAGAGAACAACAATTGAAATCTTGTGAGTATAAAAACTAAAATGAGCATGCTACACTTAGTCACATTTCTTGAGTATTTAATGAGGTTCAAACTTACCATTAATGACTTGTAAGATTGACTTGCTAACCATGGTATCTATACCAGGGCTCTTTAGAGATATGTATGTAAGTATTCAAATTCCAGGTTAATCCGTTGTGTCCACTTTTGCACTAATACTCTTGGAAAAGGCATGACTATCTTTTCTCTCTCCAGTTATGGATTAAATAGCAGGATAGTACAGTCTCTCTAGCCTTGTGTGGCAACCAGTCTAACAGAAGGAAAGCTTTGAATTGAAAACCGTGGAGAGAACCTCTTCACTATCTTTCCCAAGAATGCATGGCAATTCACAGAAAATAAAGAAAAAGAGAGCCATGGATGCTATATCCTGAAGGGACATGACATTAAAAATATTAACTCCACAATTATATGAAACAAAAACTTCTTTTATACTGTCAGATTTTATTATGCAAGTCAATGTCTATACAAAAAAATAGTATTAACCTATTAATGTAGATAAGATTTTCCTGATATATTCATATGAGCAATTTATTGTGTGAGTTTCAACTTATAATATCAGTCCTTAGAAAAAATATTCTTAATAAATTATTTTGGGAGTTTCAGGACACCAATATCCCAAATACCTAAATTAGAAATCTTCTTATTGTTTCTGTTAATATTGGGCTCCTTAACATTCTTATAACATTTGTCAGTGTTTCATCAATTGATTTTATCAACTTTTCTTGTGTTTCAATTTTAACATTTCTTGTTGCAATTTCTATTGTGTTTCAGAGATCTTCTTTGATAGAATATTGTTTACCATTCCCATATGTATTTTTTAAAGAGGAACCACAAGTTTTCTCCTGGATTGATATCTGTAGAGGCTATGAGTTATTCCATTAATTTGGCAACATTTTAACATTTTTATAAGCTTTGAAGGGTATGGAGAAGCATTATCTTGCATGAACCATGAAAGCTTCTTGGTTATTACCTATAGTAATCAAAAATATCTTTTTTAAGCACTTACAATAAGTCTATGGATCATCAACTTTGAAAGGATCTATAATTTACTGTCTACAATACTATCTCTACACATTAGTCCACCTTTCTTACTATTATCTTCTGGGTTGTGTTGGTTGACTCAACCCCAAGCCTAGCTATCAGGTTCATCCAATGAATAAGAAGTACAAAAGATGGAGATGGAAGAGTTGTGCACCAAATCTCTTTAATCAAAATCAATTTTAATCAACAAAATTGTAGAAAAAAATTGTATAAAGAAACACTGTGAAACCATTTAAAATTTCTACTTTCATTGAATTTAGCTCTCATAAATCTGCAATACATCCATGGCATAAATTTCCTCCATTGGCTTCTCAGTATTTGTGAATTTAGCATTCCATAATTATACTAAACTAGAAGAGATGGTTTTCACCCAACTCAGAGTAAAGGATACTCCTTAGTATTGGGAGTGGAAATGAGTACAGGGAGAACCCAGCTGAAAATTTGATAATTTTCTTCTCATAGAAAATATAACAATGTTTTGTTTCTCTTGATTTGGGTTTCCAACCTTTTTTTATCACCCACACCCATAGAAACATTTGATTAATATTTACAACCCTTAAAAAAGTAACATTACTTTCAAGACACAAAATTCTAAATTATAATTTTTGAACGACATACATTACTGCTTGTGAACAAATTTAACAAATAAAATTTTATCTCAACAGAAATGCAACTATAAATTGAGAAATTTGATTTTAAATTAGTAAAAAAATCATAAACAAATGTGAACATAAAATTAAATGCCTTCTTTGCTCCCGCTTCTCATTCATGATTTTGTTAAACCCTGGATCTTTCTTGCTGACTGTGATTTCAAGGCCTCTCTGTGGATTCAGGTAATTTCTAGATCTTGGCTTGAGTGACAAAAAATAACTGAATTCAGAAATTAATTGGTTATAATAAAAGAGTCTTTTTATTAAATTCAATGGGTATCAAAGTTGGTGATGAATTTGTAGCAACAAACTGTCCCTAACCCTCCCAAGGCACACTGGCAGCTGGTTGAGTGATAACTCTTCACTCAAGGCAGTAGGGAGTCAGAGGGTGCAACAACCCCAGACATCCATATGGGGAGAGCATCCAATCAAAGAGTGAAATAAAATTTTACTTTATATTTAATTTGAATAAAGTGTTTTTTTTTTCATGTTTCATCTGTTTCTACATATTTAAAATGTCTTTCTTTCTCATATTTGTCAGTACAATACTCTATAGGTCCCCACTACTTTAGTTTTAGGGGCATACAATCAAGGAGTTGGCCCTGGGCATCACCAAACCTTTGCATGTCACTGACTCAAAGACACAAGCCACTCTAGTTATGTTCGGTGCTTAGTCACTTTTTAGAAAAATACACATGGTTTCCACCTTTTTCAATTAGCTTTATTCTGTACATTTTCAAATGAAAAATCCTGGTTGAAAATAAAGATATTCATAGCAATACATTTTCTTTATCAAACTAGGCCATATTATTTTTTTAGCAACTAAATCTTCACTTGTCATTTTTTCAATAGTAAAAATATAAGATACAAACTGTTTCAATTTTCTTTTTGACATTTTCCTGATGTCGTTTTCCTTTCTCATGAAATTCAATACTCTGTAAAAAATAAAAAATATTAAATCATTTTTATCAAAAAAGTATTCTAAATGTTAAGATTGATTGTTAGATTTATTAAGTTGTAGATTGCTTGGTGACTTATCATCAAACTTTGCCATCAAAAATGATGACAATTCTTAGAAAGTTTTAATAGTGAGATGAAATGAAACAAAAGTCTCCAAACAATGTATTGTGATTCAATAAAGAGAAGATAAAGAATCCACAACTAAAATAGAGGCTAATGAACCACTAAATCCATTCCATTTATATTGTTCAGACATTTAATATCTATGATTCATTAATTATTCCTGGTATTATATAAAGTGTTTTGCTCAATATCTTTTCATGTTAAAAATTTTGTGTGTTTGCAGATTGTGACAGCCATTAGGGACATGTGATTAAATATACTTTAATGCTTAAAAAAAATGTATTCATTATTATTATTGTTTAGGCAATAAGCATTACAACAACACAAATAGCTATATTGTGGAAAAAGGGATTTTCGACAATATACACATTTTTTATGTACTTATGGTTATTTTTTTTTAACTTTTATCAAAAACAACAGTTTTGTACATGTAGTTATGGATATATTATGAATTAATTACTAATTTTTTTAATCAATAGCTATTTGTGATCAGTTGTCGACATTAAATTTGGAATAATGCAATAATAAAAATTTCATCTCTCTGATAGATGTTGCAATTTATTAATATTACAGTGAAACAGAAATATCTCTTAGAAGAAAAATATTAGCAACAGAACAACAAAGACCATGATGACAAAGGCTATTTCAAGACCAAGTTGAAACAAGATATCTGAGTGTCTCACATGAAAGGCTTGAACAAATAAGACTGCAATCTAAGAAACGTAGGAGTAAATGAACTGATTGATTTAATAGTTCATTTTGCTCAGGAAGCAAATTTGTCTAAATGCAGATAAATATTTTATTTGTATAGATTTTTAAAACAATTAAGGGAAGTAATCACTCATAAATTTACTAAATTGATTTACCTCGTTTCCCACTATTGATGGGACAGAAAATATATAAATACACATTGTTAATTATTATATGGTACAATGTATTAGCATTGTAAAGATTCCTATATATAGTACAATAGAAATATCAAAAAATGTTTAAGGTCATTAGTTTTATGCAGATGAAATTCATATAACTTAGACTAATAGCATAACTATATCTAGCATATTGTATAAAATGAAGCAAACTTTCTATACTAGAAGCTTGGATCTAAATATAATAGCTCAACTTAATTATTATTATTACTATTATAATTTATCTCAAATTGGTTGGTAATTCTTGTAGAAATGATCATCTAATTTAGTTTGCACATCTGCAGTAATCCTACAAGTGTGCAAATTGTACAAATTTATCTGAAAATTTCACAATTTTTTCTAATTATTCTTTATTATTTAAATATCATCATATCTTCATGACTTTGTAAAGTTAAGGATTGTTATGTAGGAATAAAGTGTCGCTGCCAACACTGGAGTTTGAACACAGATCACCAGAGAGCAAACACAGGCAATCCCATTTTGTATAAGTAGGTCATATGATGGTAAAGGAAATGTATATATGGAAATTAGTGTGACATCTACGTGATCACTATATGGATCACTATTCGAGTGAGTACTATTGAGCAAGTACTATTAGTGTGAGTGTTATTTGAATGCGTCTGACACCAGTATTGTTCAATTGCATTACTACAGTTGTATCCGTGATTACAAAGTCTCTACTACAACAAGCATTACGAAAGTGACAATGAGTATTCGTTGACATCACAAAAAGGAAACCCCAACCCTAACCTTAACACCTAACCGTAAAGTTAATCTTTAGAGTTAGGTGTTAAGGTTAGGGGTGAGGTTTTCTTTCTTTCCCCTTTTCTACACAGAAAGAAAACTCCAACCCTAACCTTAACACGTAACCCTAAAGATTAACTTTAGGGTTAGTTGTTAAGGTCAAGGATGGGGTTTTCTGTGTAGAAAAGGGGACAATTTAAAAACAAATGAAATAATACAATCAACCCTTCTACTTTACCAAGTTTGTGTATTAATTTTTGTTTTATTTTCTATTTTACAATATAAAAAATGCTTTATTTTTATTATTTAATTTGTTCTTTTAATTTGTCATTGCTATTCGAAACGGAAAAAAGGTATTATTTAATTTGTTTTTGTTATAAATAAAACTAAACTTACCAAAAAAAGAAATTTACATTTCTTTACGGTAATACGTAGTGGTTTTCTGCAAGGAAAGTCTGTAAAAGAAGTAAATAGGCCAAAGGCAAGCGCAAGTATCCCGCAGCGAATGAGGATTCATGATGGCAATAATGGGGGACGAATGACCAACAAGAAGTTCGATTTTTTCTTGTTGATAACTCCAAAACGGTAAGGTTTCTTCATAATCTAATTGTTAATTCGAGTCCAGCATGTACATTTGCACGGAATTATGACAATTTTGGAAAAATTTGAAGGGATATTAGCGCTCGGGAAACAAAATAGAAATTTACCGATTATTTTTTTATTTTTTTACTTACTGGTTTATTATCTGTTAACCAACATTTACAGAATTCACAGAATTTCCGTGGCTGGGATTTCCAGTAGTCAGCCCTGAAAACAAACCAACAAAAAAATAGTTAAAAACATGGCATATTATTGTTCATGTCTCTGTTATTTTAAAGACGTAGTTCATTTTTCATGAAATTCTTTTTTTTTTAAGTGAATTCACTGAAAACTGGAATAAATTCTGTTACGAACTTGTAGCATATAGATGAACTACGGGTTTAAAAAAAAGGAAAACGTGGGATCTTTTCTCGGTCTTCACTCAGAAATGGAAGCGACACAAGGGAATCAACGAAGAACAGACACAAGACGATGGATTTCAAAATATAACATTTATTTATAAATATATATAAAGAAATAAAGAGAGAAAAAAAAGAACATTCATTTAACAAAGGGGAAGGAGATCATTAAAAAACAGAAGGCGCGAGCGAATATATACATATATAAAAACAGATCAAACCAAGAGAATCAACTTATCTTTAAGTCGAGTTGATATTTTCACATAAAGTTCTGATTTGCCGAAGCGAGAGTTCTGATGCTAAAACAACATTTTGGCCGGCCGGCAATTTTCCTGGATTTCTTTTCTTTTCACAAGTGTTCGATAGTCCACAGCATCTCGTACAGGCGTTTCATTGGGTTGATTCAGTTTCATAGCAGTCCTTTCACCCCTAGTCGACAGACTTTGCTGCCTTCTTCATCTCAGTGGGCAGTCTGGCGATTTTGCCCAGCGACGTTCCACTGTCACTGGTCAGAGGGAAACTGAAAATCCTTTTTTAGATTTTCACTGTCCCCAAAGACAGTCATGTGGGTTCCCTTCGTCCTTGACCGGGTACGCAGGAGGATGGGGCGCAAATCACGCAGTGTTTGTGTGATGGCCAAAAGTTCAATACATGCTTAGTATGTTCTGATCACGTGAATCGCAGCAGGAGATCCTGATGGTGCCTGGAATTCACTCATGGTCAAATGCCTGATAGCTGCGAAATTTTGGAACCAGGTCATTCTCGCGTCGGGTCACTTCAAAGTTCACGGGCCCTTGGCTTGTTGGTGGAAGAGTAGATAAAGAAGGAAAGAATTTGTGAAGAGAAGAGGAGTGTATGGCTGATCATGGAACATATTCGCTCGCAAGTCGAAAGCATTGGATTAAATTTCTATTTTTATTTATTTATTTTTCTTTTATATCTAACTAATTTTCGACTAGAATTTAAGATTTTACTTTGGGGTGCTTTTTAGCCTAACGTCTATGTGGTTAATGAAATCAGGGCTGCGTCACACCTCCCTACCAAAAAGAAGAATAATGCCATTAATGGCAGTTTTCTAAAAAGAAAATAGATTGTTTTCGCTTCCTTCAGTTACTCATCCTCGGACCTCCGTGGACTCAGGTGCAGAACTACGTCCACTAATCATCATTACAGTGTTGGTTTTTCCCCATTCGTAATAAGGTTTAATTCTATTAATGTAGTACATTCGCCTCTCTTTACTATGGTCAGGAGTTTTCACGACGAATTTCAGATTTCTGGTCCTTTCAAATGGATCATGAAACTGAGCCATGTTAGATGGACACATTGTTTTCGGAAACGGGAAACATAATCCGAAAGACTCTCCAAAGCTAGGTCTTCCTGTAACCAGTCCTCCTTCAATACCTGTAATGGACCACGGACTGAATGTCCAAATATTAGTACAAAAGGGCTAAAGTCCAGAGACACTTGGATAGACTCTAGGGCATCAAACATTAAGAATGCGATACCTACGTCCCAATCGTGTTGGTGGTCCAGGCAATATGTTCGCATCATATTCTTAAGGGTGGAATGAAAACCTTCCAATGCTTCTTGGAATTGGGGATAGTAGGCTTTGGACTGAAGGGACTGTATACTTAGAATTTTCATGTATAATTCTGACATGAAATTAAGCTTTTGGCCTGACTGTACCACCTTGTGTAAGCCAATCATGGCAGAAAAACTGACAAGAGTTTTCGCTGGCTTTACTACTGCCTGACAAGCGTGGCGAGTCCAACAGGATTCAGATATATCTGTTCGGATCCCCGGCCAATAAAAATGTTTGATGATCTTATTGTGTGTATTGTGAAGGTGACTCCCAAGTGGGATCTCATGAGCCGTGCTCATTACCTACGGTCTGTCTCGTTTAAGGAGTACTACTTGATAGACTGTCGACCAGTCTTCTGAGGCTGAGATGTGTGGGGGTCTCCACTTCCTCATTAGTACCTCATTCTTAATAAAGTATCCGGTTGGAACTTTCTCTAACTTATCCTCAGGCAATATGTGATGGAAGAGTGGGGTGAGCTCAGAATCACTCCCCTGCTCTGTTACAAGTGCTCTCCTTGATAATGGAATGTCCATAGCGAGCTCAACAATACCATTGCTATTCCCAGTTGGGGGACTATCGGGAGGATAATTTAATCCCATATCAGGATTTATAAATGTCTGCGATAGGTCTATCACTTCGCACTCTGCCCTATCGATTTTCTTGTCTATCTTTTCATCGGCCTTCTTTCTAGCCTGTGCTCTGGTCACTGCACACGAGGGAAATATATCGGGACTCTCTTCCTCGATATCTTTGGTGTCTGCCGAAGCAAACAGTTCCGCAACTACTTTAGGGTGGGGTATCACCCTTCTACCCGCCAATTCATTTCCTAACAGCATGGATATGCCTTTCATAGGCAAACTAGGAACTACTCCGACCTCGACGGGGCCAGACACTAACTCAGACATAAGGTGGATTCAATGAAGGGGGACGCTAACAAAGCAGCTGATAACACCCTGTATAATAACAAATTCGCCAGTGGCCGAATCCGATCCATACAGCACGAAGCTCTCCACAATCAGGGACTGAGTCGCCCCTGTGTCCCGCAAGATCTTCACGGATTTCTTCTTCGTGGGGTTATCAATGGGGGATACAGCACCATTAGAAACAAATGGCCTATACTCCTCCCTCACATCTTCGTCGTTGGGTTTCCTATTCATGGTAATGCTGTCGGAAGAAATTAGCCCTTGGGGTCTGTCCTGACTTAGGGCTCTGGTCTCGGCATTCCGCTTCGTCCAACAATTCGACACGAGGTGTCCTACTTTATTGCAGTAGTGGCACATCGGGAGTTTCCTCTCTCTCCTATTCGTCTGCCAATAAACTGGTGAATGAGAACTAGGATTTTGAGATTTGGTATCTCTCGGACTGGGTGGTTGGCCTGAAATAACCGATCGACCAAACTCACGTCTTGGGTATGGACCGCTTCCAAACTTAGATGGGTTGCTATGATTGAATGTACCCCGCTTATGTGTTAACACATATTCGTCAGCGAGAGTGGCCATCTCATATAAAGTATCTACCCTTTTTTCATCGAGGTAGGTTTTTAAATTATCAGGGACACATTCTTTGAACTCCTCTATCAGGATCATTTGCCTTAGCCTATCGTGATCTACCTCAATTTTTTTTGATAAACTCCATCTATCAAAATAGGTTTCTTTTTGTCTCGAAAATTCAACATACGTTTGTTTGTCTCCCTTTTGGCAGGCTCTAAATTTTTACCAGTATGCCTCCGGCACTAGCTCATACGACTTTAAAATGGCCGATTTCACAATGCTACATTCAGCGCAATCTGCTACTGAGAGCGCGGCGTATGCTTCTTGGGCTTTGCCTTTTAATGCGGTCTGCAGTAAAATTGGCCACATTTCTATGGGCCATGCTAGGTTTGAGGCGACCTTTTTGAAATGCTGAAAATACTTGTCGACGTCAGCCTCGTTAAACTGCGGTATGAGTCGGACCTGCTTAGCTAAGTCGAACTCACTACTTCTAGCTTCGTGAAGTTCCTGTTTTTCGTCTAACTCCTGAAATCGAGTTTCTTGTTCGATTCTAGCCTTTGTGATTTCAGCTTTTGCTCTTTCAGCTTCAGCTCTGACCTTAGCCTCCGCCTCAATTTTCGCTTTCTCGAGTTTGAGTTGTGCCTGCGAAAGTTCCGACGTGTCTAGTGATAATTTACGTAATTCTTCTACGTCGAAGATGTCGTTATCTACCATGTGTTCTGCGACTAACCTAACTAGCTGAGTTTTTCTCATAGATTTTGTTATCTCTAGTTCTAATTCCTTCCCTATTTCAACTATATCATCCTTTTTAAGCTTACATAATTTTTCCATAGAGGGTGATGCGAGGAAACTATCTATAACCGACATCTTGGCCTGTAGTTCACCGACACCCTGAAGCTGTGCGATTCCTACTGAGTGAAAAAACCAGGGTGAAAAGATTCTCGGAACAAGCCCCCAATTTTATATGTTACAAACTTGTAGCATATAGATGAACCACGGGTTTAAAAAAAAGCAAAACGTGGGATCTTTTCTCGGTCTTCACTCAGAAATGGAAGCAACACAAGGAAATCAACGAAGAACAGACACAAGACGATGGATTTCAAAATACAACATTTATTTATAAATATATATATAAAGAAATAAAGAGAGAAAAAAAAGAACATTCATTTAACAAAGGGGAAGGAGATAATTAAAGAATAGAAGGCGCGAGCGAATATATACATATATAAAAACAGATCAAACCAAGAGAATAAAGTTATCTTTAAGTCGAGTTGATATTTTCACACAAAGTTCTGATTTGCTGAAGCGAGAGTTCTGATGCTAAAACAACATTTTGGCCGGCCGGCAATTTTCCTGGATTTCTTTTCTTTTCACAAGTGTTCGATGGTCCACAGCATCTCGTACAGGCGTTTCATTGGGTTGATTCAGTTTCATAGCAGTCCTTTCACCCCTAGTCGACAGACTTTGCTGCCTTCTTCATCTCAGTGGGCAGTCTGGCGATTTTGCTCAGCGACGTTCCACTGTCACTGGTCAGAGGAAACTGAAAATCCTTTTTTATTTTCACTGTCCCCAAAGACAGTCACGTGGGTTCCCTTAAGTCCTTGACCGGGTACGCGGGAGGATGGGGCCAAAATCACGCAGAGTGTTTGTGTGATGGCCAAAAGTTCAATACACGCTTAGTATGTTCTGATCACGTGAATCACAGCAGGAGATCCTGATGGTGCCTGGAATTCACTCATGGTCAAATGCCTGATAGCTGCGAAATTTTGGAACCAGGTCATTCTCGTGTCGGGTCACTTCAAAGTTCACGGGCCCTTGGCTTGTGGGTGGAAGAGTAGATAAAGAGGGAAAGAATTTGTGAAGAGAAGAGGAGTGTATGGCTGATCATGGAACATATTCGCTCATAAAAGTCGAAAGCATTGGATTAAATTTCTATTTTTATTTATTTATTTTTCTTTTATATCTAACTAATTTTCGACTAGAATTTAAGATTTTACTTTGGGGTGCTTTTTAGAATGAAATTGGGGCTGCGTCACAATGCTAATTTGGAATACTTATGAATATAAGATCAAGCTGTAATAGTTTTTGCCTAATCGCTTCAAAAATACAGGGTGTGAAAAAATTAATGTCTTTTTTATTTAACTTTTATTGACACAAAAATAAATTACAATAGTTTAAGAAAATTTATAAGTATTGTCACATCAAAACATGATTTGTTATGATTAACAAACTATATAATGTCCAAAATGCTCCCCTTTATGTTTAATACAATGCTGAACCCTATCAGCAACACTTCTACAAACCATTTGACACATTTCTACAATAATTTCAGAAAATTTATAAGAAATTACTTGTTTTAATTCAGGAATTTCTTTCAGTTTGAGCCTGTAAACAAGTCTCCACATCGTCCTATCTACCTCAGCTCAAAATTAAGATTTAACCATTCCCAAACATGTAAGTCATAGTGGGATGGTGTACCATCCTGTTGATCCAAATTTATAGTTGAAAACTATAAAAATAAATAAAAAAGAGGTTTTACATTTGCCACACTAATAAAAAGGCATCATTTCTTCTGCACCCAAAAAAGGCATTAGCTTTGCCACACACTGTATACAGTCTAGCTTTATCCTGATAGAATATTAATTTCTTTTAACCAATTCCAGACATTTTCCAGTAATTGTGTTATGATAAGGGTATAGTGGCAGAACAAAGAAGAAACAACAAAAATTTTAAGAAATAAACAATTGTATTAACGTAAAAATACAACAATTGACAAATCAGTGTAGATGTCTCTTGTTGAAAAAAGAGATAAGTGAAGTTGTAAAAGGTGTATGGAAGGAAAGGGAGAATGAGTTCTGACTTACTGGAGCAACAGTTTTTGGCAAGTTGGCCATGTCTGATGTCTCTTAGAAATGTGCAGTCACTTTCTGACAAAGTCTGTGAACCCAGGCTCAGATGCTGTCCAACTGCCAAAATATCCCTTTGTTGAGCTTCTATGTCCTTTCTTAGACTCAAATTGGCTCCAGTTTTTTTTTTTTTTAGGCAGATGTGGGTGCTATTGAGAAGAAATTCTCAATTGTATTGCTTATTTTTTCTTTGAGTGTGTGAATAAAAACAAATGGTTTTAGTTCAGTTTTGGGTATTTGGAGTATTCACATCTGGCCAGTGATGGAAAGTGGCATGAATCAAAAGATCTGATTTTAGGAAGAATGTAACAATTGTTAGCTTTGTCAGCAGTACTTGTTTGAATCAATCTTTGGATTTTCTGGAAGAATTTCATAAGGGAAGACACCCTTCCAATTAAATCATACACACTGCATCACCTTCTTTGATAAAGGCCAGTCTTTTGTGATGATTCATTTCATTTGCTCCATGGTCTCTTGCATTCCATATTGTTGTTCTGCCTGTCAGTGGAGCTTAAAGGGATAAGATGCTCACAAAAAAGACTGCCTATTAATTAAATACTTACAGACTTAAATATAAATAACTAATATTTCCCTATCCCTGAAACAAGTAAATGCTTGCAGACTCAAATATAAAAGAAAAGACTGATTTCAACATTAAATAACCCAACAAGAGTTTGAAATGTCATAAAATCCACCAAACCAACCCAACCCAATTCACGTTGTTGTAAAGTATCCACTTTTTATTTCAATCATAATTTCAGCAAAAATTCCCAACATAAAACTTTACAAATCACTTTAGACACATTCAGTCATCTGCAGTAACTTCTCTATAAATTGCATTTCAGTTCCATTTTTACCTTTCTTAAAATAGAAATATATATGCTGAAAATCTTATCTTTTCTCTACTTCATTGATAGAATTAAAAAGCAAAAATACAGTTTTAATGCATTCTGATAAGGCAGCTGTCACAATACAATCAGAAGCAACCTTTTTTAAGTAAGTTTGTTAAAATTAAATGCTGTTAAAAATATTGGGTTAGCCAAAATATTTGAGAACAAACTAACCCAATTTTTTTTTCTTTTAGCCATGTCCCTTCAGGGCATAGGTGATCATGGCTCTTCATATATTCTTTTATTCATTATTTGTGAATTGTTGACTTTTTAGGTGTAGCAAATGAGTCGACTTAAACAGTGTAAGGGACGCAACTCTTTCCGTCTGAAAATGTCTGCAACGCAAAACGATGTACACCAAGCACGGGTGAAATGTTGGTCTGCCAATGTCTCCAAGCAACCTGCTTTTATAGAGCCCAGACACACCTCATTAGCATGTGTGTAACGCGACTTTTCGTGACTGCACGAGACCGTGAATATTAAAAGTCACGGACGCCATTTTGAATCTTTTTCTTTCCTTTCTCAACCCACAGGCCAGGAAGATGTGAGAACGTTTGCGAGGTAGGCGTTTCTATTTTCCCCACACTCCCCCTGATCTCATGATCACAGAGTTGACAGGAGGTGGTGATCGCTTCGCCGGTACTTCTTCGAAGAGGGGCGCTGCGAGCCTCATCGTTGCTTGTGCTCCTGTCTGAGGTCTGAGGGTCGAAAGACACCGCGTCCCTTGGAAGGCTACTGATATCCCAGTCACTGCCTGATGGGGCTGGCGTGAACCAGAGCGATGCCTCACTGGTCTCAGATTCGATTCGCTCTCATCGTCCAGCGGTGGTTGCAACTCGTCGGCGGACGCAGGTCCTTAACGTGACGGAGCACACCGTCGACCCGTACCACCTGTGGGCTGATCACCTCAGTGACGCGTCCGATTCCATATTTAGTGGGTGCACTTGCTGTGCGGATTTTTAATCCAGGCGACATCGCCTTTCTTCAGCCTCTCTCCGGTTACTTTCAGTTCCGTCCAGTGGGTTGGTTTCTATGCCCTTCACTCTAACGTGGTACCTATGCAATGTGTCTGCTGGCGCCGTGAGGGTGAGACATCATCCTTCGGGGTCACGTTGTATAAGTGGACCGCCTCAGACACCGTGCAGCCCGTTCTGGCTGCGATGGTCTTGACGGTCCTGTGGTTCCGCTCGATGATTCCATTTCCACTTTCGATGCGTGGGCGCACCGGGAACCGTAAAGTGCACTCCCCAGCCATCCATAAACTTCTCGAACTGCTCACTGGTGAATGCGGTGCCATTGTCGGTTAATATCTCCGTTGGGGGCCACGTTCAAGAAAGATGCTGTTTAACTGACGGATGATAGTGGCTGCATCTTGCCGGCGCAGCAGTCGCCATATCGCAAAACCTGGATGGACCACAATCAATGAGTGTCAGGAAATGCTCGCCCGTTGTGGTGAGTAACATCTATCGCCAGCCGGCTCCAGTGGTTCCTCACGCTCAGCTGCCCTTTCTTCCAGCGAGCGGGTGCTGGGTCTATGACTGGCACGCCACGCAGCTTCTGACCACTCTCCTGACGTCTGTCTTTTTTTGTACTCCTGGGTCAACCAACTTGGCGAAATACAGTGTCCGCTTGACTCCAGGGTGCCCACTTTGTTGGTGGACTTCTTTGATTTGATTAAATCGAGCGGGACTCACGGACGCAGCGCAGGCTGGTTGCACGGGCTCAATGGCTTTCTTAGCGGCGTCAAGCCACCTTTGCGGCACCCTCGTTAAACAATCTGCTTTGTTGAGGCTAGATTTGACCAGGGACACCTCCATTGTCAGTCGTGCATTTGCACTAAATTCCACGATCGTGTCGAGCCGTCGTCGGATAAGCATCTCGCTGGTGGCTTTAGTCCGCACCCTGGCCCTCCCGGTCAAGGTATCAGAGATCCACTTATAAACGCAAGCGGAATCAGTGAACAGGCGCGGGTGGTCACTTCCAGAGGATCGCCAAGTTGATCCCTTGATGACAGCATCGAGCTCCGCTAGGTTTATGTGCTGGGAGTCCCTTTCTGGGCGTAACCAGCAAGCATCTTCTACCACGGCTCCATCGTGAACTATCGATCGCCGGTTGCAAGAGAGCTTCGTCAACCCACACACAGAGGTCTTGGCTGTCAACACACCATCTGCCCCCGCGCTGGGTCTTCCTTTTTGTGCTCTGGCGAGACCTCCTTCATCATGGTGTTGAGAGGGGTCGTGAACTTCGTCATCCCATCCAGTGGTGACGTCAGATGCTCTCCGCTTGATAAACGCCACCGCAACACGCAGCCAGCCACCTACAGGAAGGTGTCCAACTAACTTGCCGCTGGGAAAATATGCTTCGCCAGTGACAACGGAGGGCATGTCTGGGAGTTCGTTTCCCGTTTCCAATACAGGACGCGTATCTTCTCCCCAGACCTGCAAACCAAGCACCCGTGCACCATCCTGTAGTCTCTCCGGTTCCTTGCTGAGGAGGCCAAAGTTGTAGAGATGCTCCTTCACGCGCGCGCCGCAATACGACTCCCTCGTTCACGTACCGTCATCAATATATGCAGATGTTGCCCACTGTATGCGCTCATCCTTCGTTAGAATGGCGTCAACAATCATCTGCATAATCGATGGCGCCACATTGAGTCAAACCCCATGCGGGTCAGGCAATACCGTTGCCCCTTGATAAGCACGGTTTGATAGGGCCACAGTGATTGGTGCACACGCACTTGAAGGTATGCCTTGCGAAGATCCAGCACAGATACATTTGATCCTGCTTGTCGCCATTCCCTTAGCTTCTCGGTACACATGTCCGCGCGGGCAGTAAAAGGGTCCACGTGCTCGTTCAGTTCTCGATAGTCGAGCACCGGCCTCACCTTTGTTTGTTGTGCTGGAGAACCGCCATTAAGCGGGATCAGGCCCTTTGGGGGCCCCAATTCCTTCTCTGGATAAGGAACCAACCACCCGTTATTAATCAGGCTCGCAATTCCTTGTATGTACTCCTCCGCGAGCTCGCGGGGGATCTTATACTCCGGCACACTGTTGTACAGCTTCTCTGGCGGTTGATCGTCTGACCATTTCAAGATACCGTCCAGGACTTTGTGCGCTGGTCGAACTCCGCCGCGAAAAGTCAGGCGTTCCAGCTCCATTGCTGCACCTAGAGCTAGACCTGTTTCAGTGAAACAGCGCCCGACCCTCTTCGTCAACACGGACACCACCCAATTTTTGATGACGTCCATTCTCAGGAGCAGATCATAGCCGAGCAGCCCTCCGTCCCACGACCAGGGCTTGTACAGCTACTGCAGGCCCCATCGCCCGATGCTTGCGCGGATGACGCTCACTCCACAAGAGGTTAGCGAGCCCCGCCAACAGTCAGAACTGGAATATTTTTTCTTGTCCCGCGTGTCACAACATGCCTTGCGCACAAGGGTCTGGGTGCACCCGGTGTCAACAAGCGCGGCGCTCCGCCCGTTAATCCGCCCGTTCACTGCAGGTAGCGCCTTGTTCAGCGGCGATCTGGGGAGAAGACTGGCGCTGTTACCTCCCCTGCCCGTTTCGGACAGCTTCTTTTCGTGGCCCAGCTTGTCGCACCTGTAGCAACGCATACGTCTCCGTGTTCCTCGGTTATGCGTATCCTTCGCATGCAACCGGCAGTCTTT